AAGCAATGGACTGACTAATAGTCATTTTCGTTATATTTATAATAAGTAACATTCCTAATGGAAGTACTTTTACGTTACATTGTAAGCTATATTTCAAAGAACCTTTATCTCGTTGTCGCAAACATAGCATTCAACAATTTAAGTTGTATCAACAATTATGCTGCCATGTGCACTCGACTGTGTCACTTAGTTTCATGTCATAAGATTGATATTTGCATATATTTGTTACAGCGTAACGAAACCCTTCTCCATACTTGCTTACCGTGTCAAATCTTGAGTGTGTGACTTAGTTACAGTTTTATAGTTGCTTATACGCGGGACGAACGTATTTCAAATTCAATTTTAGAATTCAAAATTATTATAAAGTGTGTTGACCATTCACCTGATTTTTGTTTGTGCCTAGTGATGTGATAGTGCACAATTAGGTATCGATTTATAACCGGTTCGCAGAATCGTGTTTTCCTTGGAATTTATTATTATTTGATAGCGAAGTTGGCGTGTCTCAGTGTTCTCTAGTAATTTTGTGTTTTTTTTTACCATTTGTAATTCAAATAATGCCTTAAGCACACTTTAAATTCATTAATTTCCCACATATTATTTCATTGTTAATTAATAGCTGCATTATATTTTCGTCATTTTAATGTTGCGTTCGATGGATATCAAATTGACTATTATAGTTATTATCCGACCCAGCGATCTTCATACGCCTTAGTTTGGATAGGGAAAAATAAAGACGATTTTGCTATAGCCTTTTTTTTGTCTCAATTTTTTCTCCATAACAACTTTTCTCACCTTTCAATGAATACGCGTTACCTAAATGTTGTTTAAAAGTTCTTGTAAGACTGCACTGCACATTAACAACGAATCTGAAAAATAAGTTACCATAACAATCGAACGTGAGGCAATATAGAAAAGCTTAATGAATAAATTTATATTTTTCAGACTCGAATCCAAGATCTCAGTAATATAGACACTTTGAAACCGACGTTATAACCAGTGATTGTCGGTCTGATATGGATTTGATATGCTTAGCATTGCTGTATATCGACATTTTCATTTTCTCATAACAAATAGATTAGTGATCGTTCGTAGCAACACGTACTGACGGAGTAAAGCGAAATCCGATAATTGGTATATATTTAAGATTAATTTTGCATTCAGAATGCCATACTGAAATATATTCTTAATACAAAATGCTTAAAAAATCCACTTGGTCCCGGGCACCCTGAGATGGAAATCGAACCTACGACCTTTCGCAATCCGGGCGACTGATCTAACTGCTGAGTAGCGAAAAGTAACAAGTGCTTGAAAGATTCGTCAGTCCTGTTAGGTCCTAGGTATATATATATATATATATATACGTTTTTTAAATTTTAGTATTTTTTATTAGTGTCTTACACCGAAATGCGTTAGATATACGGTAATCTGACAAAACCGGTAGTACATTTTTTAAATATCATCTATGGCAGCATTTCTGTTCTACAAACTAGACTAAAAGTTTATTTTCTATCAGCCAGTTTCTGAATTTAGAATTTAAAGTTAAGCAAGTCTCGAATAGTACTTAAGCTATCCTAAATGTCACTTAAAGAGGTTTTTCGTTAATGATTTTAATTTTTAGATAAAAGTTTGATAAAATAAGAGTATTTGCCATGTGAAACGTAAAAAACTCAAGTCATTGAGAATAATCAGTTGAGATTATGTACTTTTCTCAATTCAGAGTCCGGCCGTATATCTTTAGCTTCACACAATATCCCTTGCGGGATAAGGAAAGAGACTAAAAGTTTCAATCACCTTAAATTGTATTTGTAAATAAGTGAGATAATAGAAGAAATAAGAAGCCTGGTCAGATTTACCTAGAATAGGAAAAAAAATTGTTAAAAAACCTATTTGTACATGTTGATGATATCACTGCATTTAGTAAATATTTTTTATTCTGTAGTTCTAAAAGCATGTGGGCTTGTTCAATTACTTGTTTCCACCGTCGTTTACTGCAGTGCATTAAAGTGCATATAAATATCTGACCTACAAACGACATGTTCGCTGGCCTCATCTGTGCATCAGATCAGCGTGAATGAATTTTATGAATGGTTCCGAGCGGACATCGATGATTTTATTATTTTATCTGAAAGAATGGATGTTTGAACAACATTGAACACATTAATTAGTCATTCTTTTGTAACCTTAATTAAAAAGTACGCGTGCAAAAAACGAAAGCATTTAACGAAGGAATAAGCAATTTAACGCTCTGCTCGCTTCGCTCGCTCCGCTGTTCTCGGTCAGCACACTATCTAAAGTCAACCTATTTTATTCATTATGGCAGTAATTTCATTAAATTTTATGAATCAAACTGTTTTTTACAAGCTTTTATTTAGTTTCATCAGTACTGATGATTATCTTTCTATAATCAAATCTCGCAAACTTTGCACTTTGAAATTTGAAATATATCTTTAGTTCTGATGAAAATGTAATTATATAGGTATCAAAAGAAAAAGAAATTTGTAGAATACAATTCATCAAATGAAAGCTTGTTTACTCGTTTTTAATATAACATATCTCCAGGATCGTGTGTATGTTTTTTTTTTGTCATCGAGGAAGGACAAAGCGATTGCAAGTACATCTTTTATTTATTCCCACAAGTGTATCTTTTATTCAACATCTTCGGCAAGAAACTAGTTATTACACTTTTCCTGTTATTAACGATAGATAATACAAGTAAACAAGTTGTAGATGTAAATCTGTTTTGTATTTTTGAATAACTGTAAGTAAATTTTAATATCGTTCAGTTTATTAGCTGCAGGTTTCCCTAGGATTAAAAATAAAATTCACTCAAAAACTTATAAGGGAGTTAAAGACTGAACGAAAAAACTTTATTTTAATGTTATGTGTCACTATCTTAATTTGTTAATAATATTATGATGTTTATGATGTCCCCCTTCGATATTATGCCTCGGAATCTACATCTTTCTGATTTCACGTTGATAAATCAGTTTCATAATTTTTTCCACATGTTGGAACTCCTCTGACTTTCACGACGACAGTGTCTTACGGACTTCTTTTTCATATTTTTTTGTCACTGATGCAGTTTGCAGGTGTGAAAATAATCAGGAAACATTACATAAATACTAAAATAGAATTTCGTACTTATTAAAAAGATTGTGCAGTTAATACTGGGAAATGATAAAGTCTGGAATATTGAAAAATACAATGAACGACAATAAACTGCTGAAGAAGAGGCATTCTGTTGTATCTGGAAGAAGTGAATTTTGTGAGTATATATTTGTCATTGTGATTCTACTACAAAATTTCTGCCAAGCTTGCAGACTTTACAATCTTAGATATTGCAAAAAAAAATTCCTGCCAAGCTTTAACAATCTCAGATATTGCAAAAAAAATCTATCAAGATTTTTTTCAAACTGGAATGACTGCAATGGGCTAGGAATCTTATCATACACTAGTTAAGATTAGGATGACCCTCAAATGAAGTGTATCGTCTTTTTCTGTTGACTGTCTTCGTTGAAGGTGAAAAGAATGGTGAGTTGCATAAAGCAGATACGATTGCATAATCGTCAGTTTTACATTGTTCTGCACTGTACAGTTTCTGTCTTGCACCACTCATCAAAACAAAAGTATACCTACAAAATGTGATACCGCTACGTCTAAATAATTGATTGGTTAGGTTATGTTAGGGTCTTCAATTTTTACACTTAGACGCTCTAATCGTGCCTGAAAGATGGCTGTCTTTCTGTAATGTTTGTCTAAAAGTGATTGCTTAATGTAATATTTAATTACAGTGGAAATCTAAGCATGTTCTTGGCGTACGAAACGAAAATGTTCGTTATTGAATATTTAGCTTGCATCTGCAATGGGGATCGGGAGGAATATGAGGTTGTGTTGATCATTTGTAAGAACGAGATTTTTATATAGAACTTGGAGACCGGCAATAATTGTTTCACGTAATAAATCGATAATTAACAAAATCTGATGGTTTTGACTTGTTATGACGCAAATATTGTTTATTTATTTGTCTATAATAAACGATGTTGTTTTGTTCGCATCGTATTGTTTACTAAGGAGGTCTGAGCTAATTTTAAAAACAACGTAGTAAATAAGGTTTGGTGTACAAGTGAACATTTTAACATCTGGCCAACACGATCAGGTTTAAAACAGGAAATTTGAATTCAGATATCGTTCAAGAATGACCTGGGCTATTCGCCCATTCGTCACCATTAAAGCCGTCACCGTATATGATATTGCATCCTTTGTGTCGAAGGTTAACGTTATGTCTCCTCTACACGTAGACAGATTCATCTGCAGATGACGTCGGCAGACGCGTCCGCCGACGTATAGAGGGGGTGATTTGCTCGTCTGTGGTAGGTATTTGACGTCGGCCGATGCGTCCGGCACTTATCCGCGAGTTGTCGGTTTTTGTGGCACGGATCAAAGGGTTCCAGGGCGAGCGATCGACGCAAGCGAGCGGTCTGTCCACACGTCTGAAGACGCATCAGTGTTCATCGGGAAGCGAATGAGTTTTTTTTGCGTGTTAAAATGGCTAACATGAGCACTGAATAAACTTTTAAATTTCTGGAGCTGTATCAAGCAGAAAACTGCCTGTGGAATCCAAACGGTCTCGATATCCATTTTGCCTGCGTACGTGTTGCGTCTGACGAGAACTAACACAGACTGATCGACCTTCAGACGTGTGGACGGTTCGTAGAGATTCATCTGCGGATGCGTCCGCCGATGTCCGCAGATGAATCCGTCTACGTGTAGAGGAGACATTAGCGTTACGCACACCCTATCGGCCCTAGAGCTACCGAAGAGGTTTTGTGGGACTCTCCTCTGTGGACCCACCCAGTTGACATCATAACCACTCAGTGATATATCCTTAGCCCTCATAGTGGAGATGAGGCACGAAAGAATCAATATAGATAGGCAAGATAGTAGTATCACTGTATCGCATACTGAATTCGGCAACTGGAAATTCGTGATTTATCTTACCTATGATTGATCTTTATGTTACTCGTAAATTAGAAAAGGATTTGAAAACGAATTTCTCTTTATTTCAGGGTCGTCATCAGATGAAGATGAAGGCGTACAACCCCATGAGAAGGCGATTGCGGCCGGTCAAGCAAACCCCCTGTATTGCGTAAGGAATATAGAGCAGCACGCCTTTGGAAGGAGAGAGATCGAGATAGCGGAGCAAGAGATGCCGGGCATCATGGCGCTTAAAGCAAGAGCGAAGGAGGACAAACCTCTGAAAGATGCAAAAGTAAGCTGCTAAGCGTACATATTTATACAACGAAATCTACCTACATTGAGTCCTGTGAGGTCCTGAATTATAGCTATGCTGCGTCACAGTGATGGTCGAAGCAAATTTGTCAATTGTTAATTTATTGAACATGTTAAAAGTAACGCAATCCCGTTTTGATTGAAAACAAGAGGAGTCCAGTTCTAGAAACATTAAACAGTCAAAATAATGTTGTAAATGTTGCCCATCCATAAAAATTGACAGGTGACATTTTGAAGACCTCGCGTCATTCTAGCGCCCTCTAGGGGCTAATTCCCAATTTTGATCACTATTTGTGTATAAAATTACAGATAGTCGGTTGCACACATATTAACGCACAGACGGCGGTGCTGATAGAGACACTGGCAGCTCTCGGCGCTACAGTTCGTTGGGCCGCTTGCAACATTTATAGCACACAAAACGAGGTGGCAGCGGCTTTGGCGCATGCTGGTAAGTAACTAGATATTTTATTTTGACTGTCGATAGATGGCGCTATGATTATATAATTCGAGACTGGAAAGAAAACACCTAGTAAAGAATCCCGCAAATCCAAAGACAGATAACAGAAGATATTCTGCTCTGAAGATCAGCCCTGCGATTCTGTAAAAATCCAAACCCGACTTCGAATTCACTTAGGTGTCCGAATTCAGTTCAAAAAGCGGCATCCGCTTAACCTTGAATTAGTAATAACGTTTTGTGGCATAAGTGAAGTGAGTTTCGAAATGACAGGAATAAAATATCTGTGACACGTATATCTAATCAATATTGTTTTGTACTTTTATAATAAAATGGAATAAATAGAATTTCTACACTAAATGACGTGAATTCGGACACATGAGTGAATTCGAATTCGGGTCTGGATTTTTATGCTTGCGTTTCAAATATTATAGATCGATTTCTTAGTTTCATAATTTATAAAAAATAAACTGAACTCTAATCTTTTAATTTTTTTAAAATTAGAAGACGAAAAGAAGCAAATTTTGACTAAATATTTTTTTTTTTATAGATTACAGTACATGAGAAATTTCTCTATCTTGCTACTGATTATGGGTAAAAAAAAAGCATCTGACCCTTTTCTATGCATGATATTTTGTTTTTTGTTTCCATTAGGTTATGCGATATTCGCGTGGCGTGGTGAGAGCGAGGAAGCTTTCTGGTGGTGCATTGATCAATGCTGCGCTCCTACTGCTACTTGGCAACCGAACATGATATTAGACGACGGTGGAGATGCCACTCATCTCATGCTAAAGAAGCATTCTGCTGCGTTCAAACACATTAAAGGTAAGTAAAGCAACTTCGGAAAACGTCTGTCACTGGATGGGTAACCGAAAATTGATTATTTAGAGCTTTTCTCTGCTTTTTAAGGTAAGTTAAGCCCTTGGTCACGACTGTATCTGCACTTTGTTGGCGCGAGTTTGCTGTATGCATAATGGCGTTTACACGACAAAACTTGGCAAACGTTAAGGCTTTTGAATCAGTCATCCCTTTGAAAGATGAAATTTCATAATGATTTTACTTGAAGAATAGCCATGCAATTGAATGGTGTGATTCAATTCATAGGCTAGAATTTAGATTAGCCCTTTCGTAATGTAAATGGACCACAATGCTCCGAACTCACAGTATTACTCGAAAACGAATGAAAAGCTCTATGTGGAACGAAAAACAACTTTCTCGAAGTCGAGTACCTACGTACGAGTCCAGCGTCATAATGATTTAACTAGAAGTTTAGTCTGTTTTGTTTCTTCTAGGTATAGTAGAAGAGAGTGTGACAGGCGTTCACAGACTGTACCAGTTGAGCAAAGCGAACAAGTTATGTGTTCCAGCGATGAATGTGAACGACTCCGTCACTAAGACCAAGTTCGACAACTTGTATTCCTGTAGGTGAGTTGATATGTGTATTAAAGGTTTTAGGATAGTTTTTGGTGCACATTGGTGTGTTTTTTTTTTGTCTGTCAGATGTGTGTTTAATTTATTCTATTTTTATTGTTTATGGTGTGTTTTAGGCCGTAAAAATGGTATTGATTCGCGAGAAATGTGCCATGGAGGTTAACAATATTATTGAATTTAATTATAGGCCTTATAGACAAGATAAGTGTGCGAACGTTTGCCAGAGGAAATTGCTGCATTTTTTTAATTTACAAAAAAGCTGTTATTACCAAAGACCAGGCTTTACGGATTAAGATCCTTTTACCTTAAATAATGTGACTACTCTACTAGTATTGGTACTTTATAGATAGTGCTATATTTTATATTTTCTAAATGTAAGTGTAGAAATTAATAGTATATATCCTGGGTTTATAATGTACATTTCTTAATGGATTATTAAAATATTCGTGCAACTGTTTTTTCTTTGTCTTCTTTTATAGCTACCGAATACAGCACACTAGGGGTGCGAACGTCTAACTCTCTAGCCATGACTAGTCATAGGATAGTCAAAGTCAAAATATCTTTATTCAAATAAAAAGATTTATTCAAATAAACACCGGTCTGCACCTCTATTAGCGAAATTAAGTTCTTTTTGTTTAATACCTATATAACGGCCATTTCTTTACCATCTTGCCTATTAATTAACTTCTACAATTACTAGTGATATGTATTCTCTTTTCAGGGAAAGTATAATCGATGCTCTAAAGAGAAGTACGGATTTGATGTTTGGAGGTAAACAGTCTGTGGTGTGCGGTTATGGGGAAGTTGGGAAAGGGTGTTGCCAGGCGTTGAAAGCTTTGGGATGCGTGGTGAGTTAAATGAAACTCACCAAGACAGTAAATACTTATAACCTAACATAAATCAAAGTAAGAAGTAGTAAGAAGATTATTTGATTATATTTTCATATAGTAATACACGAGAACGTATATGAATTGAATGAAACCGACATTTAATATAATGCTTAACGCAAATAAATTTATTGTTATTATTTCTTGTCGCCTGTCAGGTAGATTATTGAAGACACATATGTTAATATTTTATGAATTATAAATAAATTACGGCGATACATTTAGTTTAAACGTCGCATGTCATCACACGTTTGTAATTTTTCTACATAGTTGTGAAGTAGCGAAGCTTTACTCCGCAAACTTTTATCGTTAAATTGAAGAAAAAAATGCGTATTTAATAATTATTCAATTACTTAGGTAACTGACTGACAGTTTAATGCTCGTTTTCACTAACCAATTTCCAAACCTGTAACGTTAGCTATTGCCTTACTAAGCACTTGCTTAGATGTAATAAAACAAGAAAAATTATAAGTTTTCTTTTATTTACACGAGCACCCAAGTCGTCATTGCCCATATATAAAAATTCAGAAAATAAAAAAGAAAGTCATGGTTTTTTAACCATGTTTCTGAATTGAGAATCTGAAGTTAAGTACTTCTTAAGCCGTGCTTAAATCATTTTAAACGTCATTTAAACAGGTTTTAATTACTGATGTTGATAGCGATTTGATAAAAACTAGGACTTTTTGCTAGTTCATGAGAATAAGTGCTTTTCTCAAATTCAGAGACCGGCCATTAATCTTCATTTTAATATCCTTGACTACAACTTACTAAATTGATTTTATCCTTTGATACATCCGTTATGGCCAAAGAATAAATGTATACGTCACATTACGCCAATGCCCAGCGCTAGGCGCCGCACAAAGCATGTCCTAACTTGAAACGTTGCTTAAAGTTGTTAGGTGGCTCATGTCTTTGGTGAAACGCATTTTAGGCGACTCCTAAGTTTAGTAAAAACGGGCATAAATAGATTTTTTTTTTACTCAGTCATCATCTTTATTAGCGAAGCTGTATTGTTTTTATTTTTTTTTAATTTCCAAATAATGCGACAAATATTTTTTTTTCAGGTGTATGTAACAGAAATTGATCCTATATGCGCATTACAAGCTGCAATGGATGGCTTTAGAGTAGTCAAATTAAATGAGGTAATGGTTGTTTTATTTTGAATAATTATCTTGATTATATTCACATAGGCATGTAGCATAAATATTTTGAATATCTATATATGGAAACGTTGTGACATATCGATTTTCCAGCTCTGTACTTAAGAGTTCATAAAAGTAACCACAATTGTATGAAAAAGAAACTCAAAAATAACTAAAAGCCAATCATATTAAGTAACTAAAAATATACGTTAATTGAATAATTAAAAAAAAAATATCATTACTATTTAATGGCGCGTCATGCTTTTAATTTCAGAATTTCTAATGACAAATGTCAACTATCCACAATTTTTCACGTTAAGAAAGTAACTACTGATCTAATCCTCTCGAAATTTTGAAGTTTAATTTCTTATTAAACAAATTAAGATTAGAATCATCTCACATAATTCAGCAGCTCTAGCACATGTAATAAACAAATGAACAGTTTTGTCTTTTGCAAATGTATTTGGTTTCCTTCCTTATATCCATATACGCAGCAATTACATTAAAAATTACACTCTTTCTAATTTAAAAAAAAAAAATAGTTAATTCATACTATGTCCATTATTCTTTACTCTGCTAACTGCTCTGTGAATGACGTTTGAATATGTGGTATCTGTTATATTCATTTTTAGGTAATCAGACAGGTAGATATAGTAATAACCGCGACTGGCAACAAAGGTGTCGTGACCAGGGAACATATGGAACGTATGAAGAATGGGTGCGTAGTTTGCAACATGGGACATAGCAACACTGAAATAGATGTGCACGCGTTACGTACGCCCGATCTACTATGGGAAAGAGTTAGGAGTCAGGTGAGTTTAATGCAGATTATTACAGAAAAAGCATGCTTTTTATCTTACTGATTGGTTCCTTTATTGTTTGATAGATGTCGTTGATTTTAATATAATGCAATATATAGTCAAATTTTTGTTTCGGAATTTGGATTCGGAATTAGTCAGGATAAAATGGGTGCCATTTTTTAAAAAGTAGGGCAAGGTTGATATGTCAGTAGTAATGACGTAGCTGAAGAACTGGGAATTGACCAAACAACAGTTTTGGCGCATTTGAAAAAAGCTAGGTAGCCCAAACAGTTGGGTAAGTCTTTGGGTACCTCACGAGATCACTGAAAGTGACCTAATGTGATTCATTAAACGGAACCATTTTTGTAGAAGCTAATAACTGGTGTGATGAAAAATGGATCACGTACGAAAAGAAAGTGCAAAAATGGTCGTGGCCAAAGGTCCGCTAGACTTCACAGACTTTTGGGGAACCCGGGTTAACTTGTAACAAGGTGATGCTGTGTGTACGGTGGGAATGAAAAGGCGTTACTCATTATAAATTGTTACCTGCTGACGACCATCGATTCTGAACTCTACTGCTAACAACTGATGAGGTTAAAGCAAGAAGTTGAGAGAAAGCGGCCAGAATTAATCAGTACAAGGGGTTAGACTTCAATTTTGCATCTTTTGCTTCTCATTAAAAATTAAAGATAGTTTGACTGAGAGTCGTTAATGCATTCGCCGTATAGTCCTGACCTTCAGATTTCCACCTCTTTTGGTCTCTTCAGAATTCTTACGCAGTGTCAGGTTAATATCACGCGAGGACTGTCTAAACTACATGTCGCGGTACTTTTTATCAGAAGCCTCGAAATTTCTATAGCAATGGTAATATGTCCCAACTACAAGATTACAAAATCTCATCGATCAAAATGGTACCTACATACTTTAGTTAAATGTAAATAAATTTATTTTATTTAAATGTAAATTTTGAAATTTCATGTAAAATGCGAAGAAACTTTTTTTCCAATCTAATATAATGGTCGTTTGTAAAATTGACCCGGTATATGATCAGTTTTTAATCCTTAACAATGTGGCTGGTAGCATATTTTTATATGTACAGCCTTCCCAGTATGGAAATTAATGTTTTAAAAACTTAAGTGATTTATTCGCATAAATGATTTAGGTGGACCATATAATCTGGCCGAACGGTAAGCGTATAGTGTTACTAGCGGAGGGCAGACTTGCTAATCTCTGCTGCTCGTCGCTGCCTTCGTTCGTGGTGTCAGTGACAGCCGCCACGCAAGCTCTAGCACTCATTGAGCTTTACAATGCACCTCAACACCGGTATAAAGTGAGTATTTACACTTATACAAGGTAATTTGTAAAACACTAATATAAGTGACGATTGTCTTGATGAGATATAAAGATCTTTAAAGTGAATATATTCTTAAACGACCTCTGTACGCCGGTTGCAAGGTATCGCCATTTTTGGTGTCTAGGGGGAGTATTGACATATCGATATTATCGATTAGTAGAATGTAGATAGTGAAATTTTCTATATTGTCTCGGGTCTGGGTGTAGTGGTACCATAGTCTCAAATACTACATAATTCGAAGGCTTTAGCTATTTATCTTGGAATCTGAGCAATGTGTATGACATCGTATATTTATTTATTTTATCATATACTCAATGGTGCCGAATTAAGCCAGAGCGGGCCCCGTAGCCAATCACCCCCTCCCCATCCCGAAACAGAAAAGTCGTCCTTTGCGTTCCGAATAACACAACTCTTAACAAGTAATCTGTAACATGAGTGTTATTTGTCAGTATATGTTCATACTTAGAAATATGTCTAGTCAGAAGCATTGCTTATTTTATTTCTAGCATTATTTACTTGAGTCAATAATGCTAGAAATAAAATAAGCAACGCTAATACAGCTACAATATTGAATATAACCGTTTTCTATCTACAGGCCGACGTGTATCTATTACCAAAGAAAATGGACGAATACGTAGCGAGTCTCCATTTGCCCACATTCGATGCGCACCTCACAGAATTAACGGACGAACAAGCTAAATACTTAGGTCTTAACAAAGTAGGACCGTTCAAACCAAACTACTATAGATACTAGCATCGGTCAAGTTGAACGTTGATTTATGAGGTCCAAAAACATTAATTGTTAACGGAATTCTTACAACAGATGATTCTAATTTAATTTACGAAGGTAGGCGAAAAAATTGACAATGATAATGTGAGCGTTGAAAGTAAACGATACGTATCGCTGGCCATAAAACGCGCGGACACGATATTGTGTTCTATAGAAAGTTCATCGTCCAACGTTCACATAATACTAATTCATTGTCCGTTTTTAATCGGTTATTATAGATTACGCTATCGTTTTTGCTGAAGCATATTTAATATATATTTAAGGTCTAGGTCTAGAGAAGGAATTTCTAATCTATTTTGGGAAAGATACCCCTTTTCCAGAATAAACTGATTTCTTGAACCACTAGAAACCACCATAAAATAGGCTGATCACCCCAGAATTTTCACTGACAAAGATTTTGGCAATTATTTCTGAATTTCCTTGGGAAATATATAGATAATTGTTAATATTAATTTTTGCCTCTACTCGAATAAAATGAACCATTTTAAAATATATCCTTTATTCAAGAACACCATTGTTGAATTAGTTAGAATCATCTGCTGTATGTTAATCGTTTAATCGAAATAGGACCTTATATAATTAACGATAATGTTGATAATTTAATAATTTCTTTTAAGTAGTCTCGGCAATTTATTTGTTTTGAACAGAGTTTTCTTTAACATTTATTTGGAGTAATGTCTTGTTGGTGAAAAGCTTATCGGTGAGCGTTTTATTAACAAAGTGTCTTATAGTGTATATATTGACAAGAAGGTACTGCCTTTTAAAGACGTGTTCACGTATCTATTTTTACGGGCAATAGAACGAATTTTCGCGTTTAAGGAAAAGGCAAAAGTATGTTTCTTTTAATGTTAGGACTAATTGATAATCAATGGTTTATGGCAAGTGTCTTACGTTCGATTCCTGTAAATGTTAGTGGTAAATTTAAGACGAAATGACAATAAGATAAGGTAGACAATTTTTTTTTACATACCGTGCCATGTCGAATTACTTTTTTAAATTGCATTGTCTTTAACTTTTAATGTTATTATATATTAATTGTATGTTCATATATTAAATTGCCGGTGCAGGCATCTTTTATAATTTTGTGTATGACACTTCCTTGATTCTATTGAGTCTACAAAATCTTCTTTTCGTCTACTTGTGCTACTTTATGGAACAATGACCTACAATTGTGTCCACTAAAATGAGGACATCTTTAGACTAAAACATTAATAAGACAGTCTTCTTATAGAACTTTGACACTTGTCTTATTCAATGATAAAACTGATATTATAAAGTCACCTAAAGCAAATAGTCGCCTAAAGCATTGGTTCTTAACCTTTTTGACTGTTAACCCTAAATATAAGTATATTTGGAGCCTGAAGTTTTATTTATGTAACAGTTCATAAAATATTATACCAATTAACTAAAAGGCCGTGGATTTCTCAAATTTATGTCATTATAATATATATATTGAATGTTTCGTTCTAATTTCTGTTCGTAATGATTAAATTGTCGAGAATCTGACACAGTTTTGTAGTATTATATCTGACGCTTGTGACGTAAGGCGGGAATGTAAGAAAGAAACGTTTGTTTAATTATTATGTTGATTGAGGTATTATGAGTCTTATTACACGATTACTAGTCTTAAAATTGAAAAAAACAGCGTGTTTTTTTATTAGTCTTCTGAAAATTTGGGCCTTGATGTTTATGTAATAAGTCTCATAATTGTATCTAATTAACTATCTAAACATAAAAACCATATGCTTATAATTAAATAAGCAGACATACAAACTCTTTATTTCATATCTTTTATTTATCTAAAAGAGGCCTAATGAAATTAGATACCAATTTTTGTTTATTTTTGTTTTGCCGTTATGATATATTTGATGTCTATTATGAAATATTTATTTTAATTAATTGGGAAGTATTACTGTCAGTATTGTTTTATGTTTTTTATTTGACGCCTAGTCGATTCGATACCAAAATTGATACCAGAAATTCGGTATCATTGTAAATAATTCGGTATTAAATGTGTATATTTTGAATTGTATTTAGCGAATACATAATTTATGATTTTGTTTATTTATTTCTCATGATAAAAATGGGTATTAGAAAAGGAGGTATGGTATGTGAACATTACGGTAATTATCAAAGTTGGACTAATATCAGATTCATATTAAGTTTTTGTTGAAATTGTGTTATTTCTATGAATATTTATTTAGATTATGTTTAGAGTCTGTACATATAGAAACAAGAGTTCTGTAATGATCATAGGGATAGAATTTAAAACATTATTTATTTTACTTTTAAGATATATTTTCTGTCCTTTGACTTTGAACATAGATTATATGTAAATTGCTTTGTAAGTCATCTTATAGAAAACAAAGTCCTATTTATTTATTGTACTGTTAATTTATTGAATTATGTATCAAACTAATTGCTGTAAAGTTGAAAAGAAAATGTGAAAGAAATCTCTTTTAGATATAATTATTTATTTAATTTATAATGTCAGTAAAACGAATGCGATATCAATAATATTTTAAGTTCTATTCAAACAATTTAAAAGCTGCTAACAGATTTATCCAAATCGATTTACGTAAATAAAATGAATTTTCTTAATTTTTAAATGTCAAAAAGTTATAAAAAGACATTAAAAATAAAAAGCATCACGCCGCTATTACGCTAACAAACGATAATTATTACACATCAAAAGCAACAAGCGAAATAGACCATATGAAGTGGATGTCGGCATGGCCGCATGTAGCGCGCGAAATTCAAAATGTATCGTTGTATCGGCAAATTAATATCGGTAAATTCGTAATATCGCCAATATACCGATATCGACTGTAGCTGCGTAGCTGTGTACATGTGTACGGTGGACCATTAATGTTTACGAGTTACATCGTTTTGGAAATAAACGAGTTTTTGTGGGACTGCTAGGCTGACGTCAGTCTGGCTAGCTAGAACTATGTACTTGTATTGTATTCCAAAAAATCCATGTCATTTTTTAATTCCTTAATTATCAGTTTAGGGCATATCGGTGATAAATGAGTAGAAAAATACTTTTAGAGATAATTCAAAAATGATATGACGAGCCTGAGCTAACGTCGGTCTAGCAGCGCTACAAGGACTTGTTTATCTCTGAAACGACGTAACTTATTTGTCCCTATTTTGTAATGGACTAGAAGGATCAGAAATTAATATCAATCGAAAAGGGTGGCCCTGCCAGCCTGACATACATCGCGTTCGATGAGGATTAATACACAAATGCTATTTTTTTCTATTTATATACACACGTCACGTCAACATCTAGGGACATAATATAAATCTGTTATTTTTTTTAATTTTATTATAGCCCTAAATGGATTTCAGACACCCGTTATTTTTCTGTGTACCTTGATGTTCTGTTTATGAGCATAGAGTTTTATCAAGGGTTGAGCTTTTCGCACAACACTTGTCTTTCCCGCTCTAACCAATGACAGTTCTGAGCACAAGAAAAGGATAGGGCGACTTATAAAGTGATACCCGGATGTAGCTTACAGTGAGCTTACTGCAATAATGGCGTGATTCTGCGTTGTTCGTTTTAATATCTTCGTTTCCTTCTTATCATATTTTATTGGGAAGGGATGACGAATGTTTAGACTTAGAGGAGAGGTGCACTGCCAACATTTTGCTTAACTAATAATAGCACCTAATTTAACTATTATCTTAAGAGAAAGAGATGTCAGTCTCGTTCTCTTTCGGAAACTAAAATGGATGTAGTTTAGGGTTACCAATTTTTATCAGAAAATACAGTATTTTTAAATGGTATAAAAATGAGGGATTTGAGTTCTGTCTACACCTTTTTGGCCGTGACTATGACACTCGAGAAGTATTCTATAATCTTGATGTCTATGGTTTCAATCTACGGTATAATAGATGCGCCCAATATTCGTTTTGTATTTGGTATTCGGCATCTTATTAACTTTTTGTATTCGGCTGAATAATTCGGTTTTGGTGCCGAATTTATTCGGTTCTAGTATTTCTATTTTCTTGACTACATGACACGGTTTAGGTCCAAAAAGACAAAACGCCTTATGTAAAATTTTTGTTATATAGTAGGCCAAAGACATCAAAGAATATGTTCAGTAAAGCTAATAAAAAGCAGTTAAATTTCAAATCGACATTTGTTTTAAAACCTGTTTCAAATCAGTGAAAATTATAAACCGAATAATTCCGGAGAATATTCGGTATGATAAATGTTAAACTGAATAGTATTCGGTTATTCGTTGAAACCGCTTTTCGGTCAAACTGTGCTCGGCATATGGATATAATTTATACAAGAGAGTTCTGTTTCTCGTAGGCCCGGATCTACGATTTTTTCCCACGGGGGCAGATGGACACTGGAGGATATGGCGCACTTACACTCTCCCCCATTATTTATATTACCTACCATATTTTAGTAATCTTATGGTGTCATCTTCTTACGAAGGTGGCCATTATTAACGTCACTCACATCCTTAAAACCGCCGCTCGGAACAGTGATGAGGTGATGATGTGACCATTGATGGAGGTTGCTCAGCCAAGATCTTCTGCGGCGTGTTTTTTTCTTGCCTTCAATTTTCTCCTGAATTGTGATATGAAGGGGTCTGTTTTTTGGGTCTCTCATGATATGTTCTAAACACTCTAGCTTCCTCTTTTTAATAGTCTTCAATAGCATTAATATTACTTTATAATAAATCTTTCCCCATTTTAGCAGTGTTTGAGTTTAATTTCATTTGGGATCTTTGAAAATAGGTCCATCCCATCGTAGTTTGTAATAATTCTTTTCTAACTATATTATGCTAAGAATTTATGATGATTTAGCTCCCCCTATCATTTTCTCCCGGTAAAACTGCCCCCCTCATCCTTCCCCTAGATCCGGCCCTGGTTTACTACTCTTGCTGAAATCTTTATATAACTATGCGATGATATCAAATTAATGTAATATTTATTATAATTATAATTTTCAGTTTGTAACCCCAGGACATTGTAGAGTTTATTTTCACATGACCAAGAATAATTCGAAAGTTACCAATA